GAATGTAGCCGGCGCATTGCAAAGTTCAAAAGGCAATCTCCGAAAGGCAAAGATGCCATACGGACAAGTGAACGATGTTTTCTCTCTGCCTTCAGGGGCTATTGAGATCTAGTTGTACCCCCAATATCCATCCAAGAAACAGAAGTGAGACCGCCCAGCTAACCTGTCCAATATTTGGTCAATTAAAGGCAAGGGGAAATGGTCCTTCCGGGTGGCTGAGTTCAATTTTCGATAGTTCATGCAAATCCACCACCCCGTGACTGTACGAGTCGAGATCAACTCGTTATTCTCATTTTGTACGACCGTCATTCCTCCTTTTTTCGGCACACACTGAACAGGGCTGACCCAGTTGCTGTCAGAGATGAGGAAGATGATACCCGCATTCAGCCACTTGATCATTTCCTTATTCACCACCTCTTTCATATTCGGGTTCAACCATCATTGATGCTCTCTGGAAGGTTTGTGCCCCTCTTCCAAGAGAATCTTGTGCATACAAAAGGCTGGGCTGATACCCTTTATGTCTGCCATGGTCCAACCAATGGCAGTCTTACAATCTTGTAACACCTGTAAGAGTTGCTCTACCTATACAACTAGCAAACCAGATGATATAATAATAGGAAAAGTAGAATTAGGCCCTAAGAAAGCGTACCTGAGGTGAGCTAGAAGCGATTTCAGGTACAACTATGGTGGCTTCTCTATTGATGGTTTTGCAGGTGGTGTTGCTCTTTCTTCTAAGCGTAGGGGCTCGAACTGAGGTTCCCTTTTCCAGAACCCTTGACCCTCGAGAGCCATGACCCACTCTGCCAGCCCTTCACCATCCATCTCTTCCAAATTCATCAAACAGGCTTCTAGCGGATCCCTGACATTAAATGTCTCATCCTCCTCTTGCAATATCACATCCACGGCCTCCACTAGCGAGAAATTTGCAAATTCGCCGGGTCTCCTCATGGATTGTTGAATGTTGAATATTATTTCTTCATTGTTCAACCTCATTTTCAACTCTCTAGTCTCGCAATCAATCAATCCTCTCCCCGAAAATGATGCCAAAATTTTATCACGCCCAACTATGCCTTGTAAAAAGGACCAAGCGGTCGCTGCAAATATAATCCGGGTCAAGTCCGGAGTCGAATCCCACATGGAACTAACCTATTTACTATAACTTTTAACAATGCTAATGATAAGCTCAGACAATTTCCGGATGCAAGATTTTTAATAGAGCATAAGTGGAATTTATTTATCAAATGAAAAATGACAACAAAATTAGCAATCAAGAATAAGGTTGAATGCAAAGGTTAAAAGGATCTAGGGCTATTGATTTCCCCAATTGTCGGACTAATTTCTGACACGTTAGCTATAATCTCGCCGTAATACTCTATGAGGATTATGAGTTCCGCGCTACCGTAATTATCTCTCGATCAATTACGATAATTTACTAGAAGCATTCTCTTGAACTACTCCAGTTAACAATTTATGCAACTCAGAATTATCCTACCAAAGCTTCGTTATCTCTAACCATACTTTTAAATTCAAGTAATTAATCTCTTAACTTACCCGAAAGTGGTGTTATTCAACAACAATCTAACCAAGTGTTCTTTCTCAAGCAACACACGGTAACCAGACACGATTAATCAAGGGCCCTTTCAATTAATCACAACAGAATACATAGTTGAACAATCATAGAATAAGAACGACTCAATTATATCTAAACATAGTCAAAACTTCATCTAACAATTGGTTCCATCAACCCTAGATGACGGGTTTAGCTACTCATACTAATGGATAAAATTCACTATAACAATTCATAATCAACAATGGAAGTAAGAAGAAGAAGATGAAAACTCTTATGAACTTCTCTGTCTTCTCTCTCTTGTTCTTGCCTCCAAAATCTTCTAAAAACAGCTCTGCCTCTCTTCTGAGAACGACCTTCCCAGAATGATGGGTATCTCTTCATCCATTTGACAGTCAAGAATAACGAAGTCTGCAGGAAATACAAACTTCCTCACTTGAACAAGCATATCATCAAGAATTCTTGTCGGTTTTTTGACTATGCGATCATCCAGTTGCAACAACATTGAGGTTGGTCTAGCTCTGCCAATGCCCAATTTTGTATAGATTGCCAAGGGCATCAAGTTTATACAGGCCCCTAAGTCACACAATGCTTTAGCAAAAGCATAACTCCCAATGATGCATGAGATAGGGAAACTATTTGGATCATACACAACTTTTGAGCCATAGGTCTTGTCACTACCGTGCTGTAGGTCTGCGTCAGAGTTATAGTGGACAGGTCGTGGAAATCAAATTTTCGCGACATTAGGTCCTTCATCATTTTTTCATACCTTGGCATTTCCCTCAAAGCATCCATCAATGGAATATTCAATTGAATTTTTTTGAAGCATTTCCATAATTTTCCTATATTGATCATCTTTATTTTGCTTTGCCAATATCTGAGGGAATGGTGCAGGAGTCAACCTCTGCCCACTGCTTGGTGTATTTTCTTTGTTGAAAGATTTTTCTACCACCTGTTCTGAGAGTTGTTCACCTTCCCTCTCATTACCCTTGTCAACCTGTCCTTGTTCAATTACAACCTCGGTAAGCTCTGCTAACTCATCTGCCTCTAATGTAATTGGAGTAGTTGGCGTAGTCTCTCTCCTAGATTTAGCAACTTCTTGTTCTCTGTCTAAGTCTCTTTCATTCCTGAGACTCACTGCCATTAGCTGATTTGGGTTATGTTCCTTTAGGTTAATATTTGTATCTGCAGGCAATGTTCCTTATGGGTGATTGTTCAAGGCCATAGATAGTTGTCCCAATTGAGTTTCAATGCCTTTTATTGTCAAATCATGTGCTGCTAATTTTTCTTGCATCTTACCATTTGTCCCAATGAGTTGTTGCAGCTTGCCCCTGATTTCTGTCATGTTGTTGTCCTGCTGTTGATGAGGTGCTTGGTAGGCCAACTGTTGCTGGTGCTGCTGATTATAGCTATGTTGCCTTTGATAAGGAGCGACATGGCCTTGTGGTCTTGCGCTTCCTGGATTGGGGTTGTGTTATGGCTGGTTTGGTTTGTACTGCTAGTTTGGTACTGGTCCCCATTGCTGCCCACCTTGCCTCTGACCTCCGAAATTGTTGACATAATTCATGTCCTCTCTAAAGCACTTGTTGTCATTATCTCCACTCCACGAGCACACATATGACTGGTTTATGCAAGGAGTGCACAAGCCTCCATTTGTTGTATCAATAATGTGCACTTGATTTGTACCCATATCATCAATTTTCTTTGTCAGTAAGCTCATTTGGGTCATGAGAGTGGCTATGTTCTCTACAGTGGAATTATTTGGGTCAAGAGCAACATAATGCACTACTGGTGTAGGTGTCGTACCTCTAGTCATCCAGCCTGAATTTTGAGCCATCTTGTCGAGATGAATCTTGCACTCTGTGAACGTTTTGCACAAACATGCACCCCCAGCTGAAGCATCTACATTGGCCTTCAAACTGTTTGCCAAACCCATGTAGAATCTTTGTCCCAGCATCTGATCTGGAATGTCATGGTGTAGACACTTCACTAGTATACCCTTAAACCTCTCCCAGGTTTCTTGCAAGGTCTCAGTCGGTTTCTGCTTGAACTGCAATGTCTCATCAATTTGCCTTGCAGTCTTGTTGGTAGGATAAAACTTGTTTAAGAACTACTTGACTAATTCTTCCCAAGTAGCAATGGAGTTTATTGGGAGCGAATTCAGCCAAGTTTGAGCCTCTCCAGTCACCGAGAATGGGAACAGTAATAGCTTAATTGCATCAGGAGTCACATTCGGCTGTCTTTGAGTCACACAAATTGATAGAAAGATCTTCAGATGTTGTTATGGGTCTTCGATGTATGACCCGGAGAACAGTGCCTTATTTTGCAATAGGTGCAGCATGTTGTTGGTAATCTAGAATGTTTCCGCTTGTATCTGAGGAACAGCAATGGCGGTGGCCAAGTTATCAGCAGTTGGTTGTGCCCAATCATAAAGAGCAGCTTCCGGCACACGTGGTGCCACCACTCCATTGTTCGGGTCAACACGATCATTCCGATTGCTTACATTGACGTCGTTCACGTTGTCCATTTCACTTTCGAGTTGGTCTTTTTGGTTTAACTATTTGTTCTTCTTGTTTTCCCGATTCAATGCCTTGAATGCTTTCTTGAGGTCTGAGAGTCCTTCAAAAAGTTCACCAATCCTCAAAGAGCTTGTAGGCATACACTTGAGTCATAGAAGAGTTCAAACGTTAGAATTTCAATGGAGAAATTTTAACACCGTAGGATATTGATCTAAACTAAGAATCCTAGCAATTCTTCTAAGTTGTAATAAATAACACCGTTAGATTCCCCGGCAACGATTCTAAAATTTTATCACGCCCAACTATGCCTTGTAAAAAGGACCAAACGGTCGCTGCAAATATAATCTAGTTCAAGTCCGGAGTCGAATCCCACATGGAACTAACCTATTTACTATAATTTTTAACAATGCTAATGATAAGCTCAGACAATTTCCGGATGCAAGATTTTTAATAGAGCATAAGTGAAATTTATTTATCTAATGAAAAATGACAACAAAATTAACAATCACGAATAAGGTTGAATTCAAAGGTTAAAAGGATCTAGGGCTATTGATTTCCCCAATTGTCTAACTAATTCCTGACACGTTAGCTATAATCTCACCGTAATACTCTATGAGGATTATGAGTTCCGCGCTACCGTAATTATCTCTCGATCAATTACGATAATTTACTAGAAGCATTCTCTCGAACTACTCTAGTTAACAATTTATGCAACTCAGAATTATCCCACCAAAGCTTCGTTATCTCTAACCATACTTTTAAATTCAAGTAATTAATCTTTAACTTACCCTAAAGTGGTGTTGTTCAATAATAATCTAACCAAGTGTTCTTTCTCAAGCAACATACGGTAACTAGACACGATTAATCAAGGGCCCTTTCAATTAATCACAACACAATACATATTTGAACAATCATAGAATAAGAACAACTCAATTATATCTAAACATAGTCAAAACTTCATCCAATAATTGGTTCCATAAACCCTAGATGATGGGTTTATCTACTCATACAAATGGATAAAAATTCACTATAACAATTCATAATCAACAATGAAAGTAAGAAGAAGAAGATGCAAACTCTTAGGAACTTTTCCGTCTTCTCTCTCTTGTTCTTTCCTCCAAAATCTCCTAAAAATAGCTTTCCCTCTCTTCTGGACGAATTAGGCTTTATATAGGCTTAGGTTCGTCTCCTTAGAAATTACATAATTGCCCCTCAGCTGTTGGCTTCCGTCCGCCTATCCGCGGCCGCGAATTTTAGCCAGTGTTCTGCCTCCAATTCGCGGTCAACTCCGCTGTCGCGCACCTAGAGGGGACCTCCTCGCTTGTTCTTCTCGCTCCTTTTCGACCGGGCTAACCTTCGATTGGCCTTCCACACGCCATATTGACTCCAAAACACTCTTTAGATTCCTCTTAGTTCGGAGTGGCTCCTGCAAAGCATAAAATTCTTAATTAGAGCATTTTGTTATCTTTTAGCATTCAAATATCAATTAAGTACGGCTAAACTAGAGTATAAATATTGTCTAAATTATATAAATATAGCCTACTATCATACCGCCAATTAATTTCAGTGATCAGATCCAATTTCTTGTATTACATTGCCTTGATAGCACGGGGACATGGGATGCCAGTTAACTGGCAAGTTTTACATGTGCATTTCTTCATTACCAGGTTCACTGAATGTTTATCATCACCCTCGGAAACTCCATACCCAATGTCACCATTGAAATTCACAGTGCATGAATTATTAGCTATGTTTAGATAAGTGGTAAACAACTTCATGCAATAAGGACTAAACTCAATAGTCCATGTTCTAACCTCTCCTTTCTCTCTCAACATGTTCATGATCTTGATTCTAATATTCTCAAGCATCTTCAAGATAGGCTTGCCTCTTGCTTCTAAGATCCAAGATTTGAAGGATTCGGTAAAATTATTGTCCACCATCTTATTTTTGCATACTGTATCAAAATATGCTCTACACTAGTTTTGTGGTGGATACCTAAGCAAATCCTTAGCAGCATCAGCACACAAAGAGCCAAGTTGTTTTAACTAGTCCTTAAACTCTTCCTCATAACTGCACTATCTTACTCATGTTGGATTCAATATGCCTAACAAAAAATCTGTAAAAGATTGAAGGGTTAGTTACTAGTCAAATAAAAGTCCCCGAATATATAAATAAAATAACACATGTGGTTTGTTAAATGGAGGACATTTCTCAGAGCATTTAAAAGTCCCTGCATATGTACATTTAGTAAGGATCAACTATATAATAATTATAAATTTAACTATAAAGATTCAAACAAACACTAAGATAACTTTTACCTTTTGCATGTCAGACATAAAAGTAATACTTTCACCATTCTTCAGATTCAATAGATGTTGCAGCAGCTCCAGAAACCATGTCCATGTCCTACTAGTTTCCCTATCAACTATAGCCCAAGCCAATGGATAAAAATGATTCATACAATCTTGTGCCATAGCCACCAATAGTTGTCCTTTGCATTGACCCTTCAAGAAAGTCTCATTCAGTCCAATGAAGGGTCTCAACCCTCCTTTACACCTCAACTTTAATACATTAAAATAAATATACATTCTCAGAAACCTTCTTTTACCTTCGGTCATCCCATCATTTGATAAATTGATAACTGCATCACTACCAGGATTGCTCTCCCTGATCTCATTTGCATATGCTTATAGTCTATTATAGTCATCTAAAAAGCTACCTTGCATTGTTTGAAGGGCCATCCTCTTGGCCCTTTTTAGCTTTGACATATTAGCATTCAACAAAAATTGATCTTTTAAATCTTGTCTCATATCCTTTATCTTGTACTTGGGGTTATTCTGCACCTTACTCTTGAAATAATGAGTTAGAGTTTTTGTGGTAGCTCTAGGGTTATCAAATGTTTCACCACATGTATGCTTTAACTTTAATGTTTTTATCTTAAATCCTGGACCTCCCCTATCTTCTGATATGAGACACACAAATGGACAGCCTAATATACATCTATAAATAAATCTTGTTTTATTACTTTTTTCACCTTCAGAGATTTTTGATTGGCAATAGCATACAAGTTTATGACTTTCTTAGCTTCTTCCAAGTTCTTAAATGTCATAGAGTTATCAAGCTCCTTGTAGTGAGTAAGCTTATCATTGACTTCTTTTTTCTTTTGTATCCTAATTAACTCTAATTCCTCAAAGTCATATTCACTAGAATCTGATTGATAACCTGAACTTTCATTACTTTCTGATTCACAATCAGTACCTACTTCAACAACCAAATCGTTCATATTGAATCTCTGGAAAAAAATAGAAATAGACAAAGAGGGTTCATATCAATAAATTATCTATAGTTGAAACTTAAATATTCAGGAGATCTACTCTAAAGGCAAATAAAAAGATAAAAGGACCACACAATAAATTACTGCATAAACTATAGAAGAAAGAGACACATGTAGTCTTGAAAATAAGAAATTGTTGTCACTTTCAACGACTAAAGTTGTTGTCACTTAAGAAATTTCACAAAATCATAACTTATCACTATGCTCGAAAATGACACCTTAAACAAAAAACAGTAGTGTTTTTATCCAAATAACAGTACATCAAATAAAAATTTGAGATTACCCCAAAATCGTAAATCTTAGTCACAAATAATCCATGACCTAAACCAACTAATAATCATTGAAAAGCTTAACTAAGATGAATCCTTACCTAAATAGCTTCAGATAATGGTAAATAATCTTCAATTTATCTTGTTATTCCTCTGAAACCCTCATTTGAAATCGCCTCTCTAAGATACCTTTAGAAGGGTAAGTGAGAAATGAGGCGTAAAATCGTTTTGCCCCTTTAATTAGACAATCGGGTCGCGGGTTACCATCTAGGTTAATGGGTAAATTATATGTTAGTGAGTTGTCACGTATTTTATTACACGTAGGATATACATGTGGCCATCTGTTAGTTGTGAGGCATTTATGGTCCCAAAGAGTGAGGGGGAGTATAGGTTTGGTACCAAAAGCAAACAAAGGGTATAATTGAGCTATTTTCGATAGTTCGAGGGCATTTTTGGACATTTCCATTTTCTAAATCATTTTTTTTGCTAAGCAATTTTCTAAAGCATTTTTTTTTGTAAAAACTGAAAAAACAAATTCAACAAAATATTTTTTAGTTTTTACAAAAAAAATATTTTTCTGTCTTTTTTAAAAGCAATATTTTTGTAATAACTAGAAAAAAAATATTTTTGTTTTTTTCAGTTTTTAGTAAAAATAATTTCAGTTTTTTCTAATTTTTACAAAAATATTATTTTAGAAAATTATTTTTCAGGTATGGGTAACTGATATGGTTATGGGTATGAGTCTTTTTAATTAATTAGGAGATATTTAGAATTGGCCAATAGGACGATGCCATGTATCACTCCGTTTAAATGAGGGGTATATTTGAACCCAAAGTATAACGACATGAGTATATTTGTCTCACAGTATAATAAATGGTATATTTAAATAATTTTTGAAAGTATAGGGTAGGGGCGGATTTAGGGGGGCGAAAGGGTGTTCATCCGAACACTCTTCGTCGAAAAATTACACTATTCATATAGGGGTAATTTTGTGTTTTACGTATAGATATAATATGTTGAACCCCTTAACACAAGCCAAAAGATTGGCTTAGTGGTGAAGGGTATTCAGATTTTGTAGAAGGTCGCAGGTTCAATTCATGTAAGTTGAAATCTAATTCTTTTTACCTGAGACGTTTGTTTTTAAATTTTAAATGAAACGAAACGACGTCGTTTCGTTTCGTCTCTTTTAATATGTTCTCCTC